GTGATCCACCCGCCTCGGCCTCCCAAAGTGCTGGGATTACAGGCTTGAGCCACCGCGCCCGGCCTGACACTTCTTAAAAATTAACAACTTAAAGCTTGTATGCTGTCAGTTTGCTCATTTGAATAACCAGATAGAGTTATTTAAAAGAATAGTGAAAAAATTGAGTGATCATGGGACTAGTGAGAATGTTGAGAGCTGCTACATTAGTCAGTAATGAATGGGAAGGACATAAAGGGCCTATTGCTTAATGGTTGGTATGGAGGGTAAAGCAGCTCATTTAGTTTGAAAACTAACCAGATGTTTTGCTCTTTGGTTAGCATTGTTGAGACTGTTTCTCAACAGCTTTGTATCTGAATATCATAAAGAGCTTCTGTTGTTCACAGCTTCTTATATATATGCTGGTAACTTGTGTTAAGAAAAAAGAAATCTGCTGTGACCTCAGTTATAATATTTTTCCTTGTTCAAATATCGAGACTAGAATGAAATTGAAGTACTAGAAGATTATCATACTGCTATTTTGTGTATGATTTGTCCAGTCTGTATTTAAAGTAGGGCGTAGTTATCACTATCTGTTGAAAAATTGTAGTGATTCCATAAAGATTTTTTTTAAAGGGAAATTTTAGAATGGCATAGTTGAGATCTGAAATAGTCTGATTTACACAGTGAATAGTCAGAACTAAGATTTAATGCTGTTTGTTTTGAAATATTACAATCTTAGAAGGGAAATAACTTTGTTGGCAATGATGTCTTAAGAGGTAAAGTAGGCATTTGCATATGTACACTTTGGAATCATATGTGAAAGGGCATAAGGATGAAAATAAGGCATTCTCTACCACTGCTAGGCGGAGAAAAAAATCACCCCTTCATAGTCACCTGAAATTCTTGTCCAAATTTTTTCTCATACAGCAAAAATATTTTTAATATCTTGTTTGTTTTCATCTTTATTTTCTTCTAAACTTATATAACAACATGCTATTTTTGTTGTTTTCGCTACATTCATTTAATCATACTTTACATACTGGCCTGTAATCTGCTTATTTCACTCAATAGTAGAAAAAATGTCTTTGATATCCTTTTTAATACTTCTGTAGATACCATAACTAATTTAACAATTTCATGGCCAGGTGTGGTGGCACATGCCTGTAATTTCAGCACTATGGGAGAATGAGGAGGATGGATGACTTGAGGCCAGGAGTTCGAGACCAGCTTGGCCAACATGGCAAAACGCCATCACTACTAAAAATACAAAAATTACCCAGGTGCAGTGGTACAAACCTATTATCCCAGCTACATGGGAGGCCGAGGTGGGAAAATTCCTTGAACCAGGGAGGACGAGGTTGCCGTGAGCTAAGATTGCACAGCTGCACTCCAGCCTGGGTGACAGAATGAGACTGTCTCAAAAAAAAGAAAATACTTGGATAGATTGGATAGATATTTAGACAATTTATTTACATTATTATAAAAGTATATCTATATCTTTGTAAACTTGACCTGTTATTTTTTTTTTAGAATAATTTTTCAGACTTAAAATAACTTACTTTCTACTGCTTTTTCATTCATTTATTTAAGCAAGTATTTTTAGATGCCTGGATGTAATGGTTAGTAAAATGGCACCCCTTTTATAGTTGAGCTTGGATATTAATGATGGTATACAATAAATGAGCAAACTTCTGATGGTGACAGGAAAGTATACAGGATGATATGCTGGGAAGCAGTTGGAGAAGCAGTAGAGAAACTGCTTTAGAAAGTGTCATCTGTGTAGGAGAAAACATTTGCTCTGGTATATGAAGGAATCAGAAGGAACCACAAGTGGGCTGAGGGGCAGAATAGTAAAGGCAAAGACTTAGAAGGCAAGCACAAACTTGGCATGTTTGAGAAGTTAGAAGTGTATCATCTGTGTCTCTGTCACGAGGAGTGCTCAAGGTCCCTCTAGGAGCCTCATGGGCTAGCTAGCTCTTTTTCTTTTCTGATCAATTGCTTGCTTGCTTTCTTCTTTGCTTATATAGCCAGAGTTCACAAATCAAATCTAATGTAGGTTAGTTAATAAAGGAAATGAACATGAATTCACTGATAGGCTCTTGCATTAATGTGAAAATGGTAAAAAGCCTATTGTACACCATCAGGCCTTCTAAATGAAGCCCAAATTCTGTAAGGTAGTGAACTGTAACCTACTGATTAATTTAGTACATGATCATGCACATTCTATTATAATGAGTTGCTTTTCTGAGACTTCAGCTGTATTATTCCCAAGGCTTTTGTGAATAATCCTTAAAGTAGTAACTGCTTACATCTGTCTTTCATTTCTTCATAGTCACTTGAAATGACATCATGAACCATCATTTCATTTCAAGGCCTTAGCCTGAATTTTCAAATAGACAATATGCCCTCTTTCTCCGAAGATTTGCCATGACCTTCTGCCCTTGGGAAAAAGTATTTGCTTGAGATTTTAAATGTCTTATCCTTTAGTAGAAAAAGTATGTTTTTAGTTACTTGGTCCTGTGGAATTGGAAGGAAATTTAAATAATATTTATTGACTCTATTTTGGTATTATTTTCAGAGTGGAAAGTAACTTTAAATATATTAAAATTTTATTCATTTTTGCATGAACCAAACTTTCCATACACATTGCTATCCTTGACTATCCAGATTAAACATGTCTAACTCTGGAATGTTTCCTTTCCAATAAAAGTATTCAGCCTGTCATTTTGACCTAAATAAAATGGGATAAATTAGCAATCTGAAGTCAGGATCCTAGCCACAGAGGCCCATGTCTCATTTTTCTTTTAAGTATACCCCTCACCCCAGCCCATACCTTTTTCTTTCTTTTAAGGATTGAGATACATGAATAATCCTCTTGGTGCTCTTGGTGCAGATCCTCTTACATGAGGGCAACAAACTTGGTAAATGGGTGGCTTGGAGATGGGGCTGTTCTAGGTATGTGACCTTGGTGTTTGCCTTGTCTCAGTTGTAGTATGGGGCTGAGTTACATTCATGGTACACTTAAATACACTTACTGACCAAATGCCAATAGCTAAGGCTTAAAATTATTTGGCCAAGAGTAAAACTGAAGATTACCACCATAAAATAAGCTTATAGAATCCATGAATAAATAGGAAATCATATTTTTAAATTACTGTAATTTTATTAAAGCTCATTTCATAAAATTTAATGCAGTGCAAAATCATTAATTTCTCAGAATTATCAGGTGCTAAATTGCTCTCACACACATTAAACTACTAATTTAAGATAGTAAGTAGTTATTTTAAATTATAGAGCAGGAGGCAACTCATGAGGTTGCAACCAAATTGTATTTGTCTTTTCTCCATTAGTAACTGACTAAAAACATTTCTTTAACTCTCGGAGTTGAAGCTTTTGTGGTCAGTGATATAATTTCATTGAAGCATATTCACAGACTAAAACTCTGTGCACTACTCTGTGATGTGTTTTGAATGTTTTCAGAAACAAACCTGAGAGAATGTTGTCCTTGTTTACTTTTTTTATTTCTGATATTTTTTTGCATGTATTTGCTACATCACCCAGTTACTTGAGAAATTGTCCCTATCCTTTGTGCCATGCTCTGAATGTTCGTGTCTCCCTGGCCACAAATTCATATGTTGAAATCTGATCATCAGTGTGACAGGATGTGGGGCCTCTGGGAGGTGATTAGGTCATGAGAGTGGAGCCTTGTAAAAGGGGCCACAGGGAGCTGCCTTGCCCCAACCACCATGTGAAGACAAAGCAAGAAGCCACTATTTATGAACCAGAAAGCAAACACCAAATATGCCAGCACATTGATTGGCTTTCCACCCTCCAGAACTCTGTGAAGGAAGTTTTTTTATAAGAACAAATTTATCATTCACAGTTCTTGTTTATAAACTGTATAAGCCACTCAGAGGCATTTTGTAATAGCAGCCCACATGACTCATATTTTAGTTCTAGAAATGTGGTACTGGAATGATGTAATTGGCTCTCAAGAGGACAGTATTGCTTCTGAATTTTTATTTTCATGTCATCTTTAATTGCGTGAACACTAGTTTTAGCATCTTCCCCTGAGTAGAAAGAGATTCTCTACAGCAAGAAGTACTGTGTAAGAGGTATTATGTAAGAAGTACTGGTGGCCAGACACAATGGTTCACACGTGTAATCCCAACACTTTGAAAGGCCAAGCCGGAGGGATCATTTGACCCTAGGAGATTGAGATCAGCCTGGACAATATGTCTAAACCCCATCTCTACAAAAAAAATACAAAAATGAAAAAATTAATCAGATGTGGTTGTATACGCCTATAGTCTCAGCGACTTGAGAAGCTGAGGTGACAGGATCACTTGAGCCCAAGGGGAGGGTAGGGAGGTGTAGTTTGAGGCTATAGTGAGCCATGATTGTACCAGTGCGCTCCAGCCTAGGTGACAGAGCAAGAGCCAGTCTCAATAAAAATAATAATTAAGGCCGGGTGTGGTGGCTCACTCCTGTTATCCCAGCAATTTGGGAGGC